AAAAAAAAAAAAAAAAAAAAAACATTTTGAAGACGACTTAATGACATGGAAAATGTCTCTCCAATGTTAAGATATTAGGAGTCAAAATTGGGCCGGGTGTGGTGACTCATACCTGTAATCCCTGTAATTTGGGAAGCCAAGGCAGGAGATTTTTTTTTTTTAAGTGGGAGTCTCACCTGTTGCCCAGGCTGAAGTGCAGTGGCATGCTCATGGCCACCACAGCCTTGACCACCTGGGTTCAGGCGATCCTTCCACTTCAGCCTTCCAAGTAGCTAGAACTACAGGCATGCACCACCATGTCTGGCTAATTTTTTGATTTATTGTAAAGATGAGGTCTTGCCGTGTTGCCGAGGCTGGTCTCGAACCCGTGGGTTCAGGCAATTCTCTCGCCTCCACCTCCCAAAGTGCTGGGATAACAGGTATGAGCCACCGTGCCTGGTGCAGGAGAATTGCTTAAGCTCAAGAGTTCCAGAGCAGTCCAGGCAACAGAGGGAGACCGCATCTCTAAAAAAAATAAAAATAAAAAAAATTACCCAGGCATGGTGGCATGCACCCATAGTCCCAGCTATGGGAGGCTGAGATAGAAAGATAGTCTGAGTCTAGGAGGTCAAAGCTGTGGTGAGCTTGTGATCGTGCCACTCTACTCCAGCCTGGGTGACAGAGTAAGACTCTTAACTTTTAAAAACATGTACACACATCTGGGCTCAGTGGCTCAGCCTGTAATCCCACGCCTTTGGGAGGCTGAGGTGAGTGGATTGCCTGAGCCTGCGGGTTCGAGACCGGCCTGGGCAACTTGGCGAGATCTCATCTCTACAATAAATCTAAAAATCAGCCGGGCGTGGTAGCACATGCCTGTAATTCCAGCTACTTGGAAGGCTGAGGCACAAGGATCACCGGAGCCCAGCAGGTCGAGGCTGCGGTGGCCGGGAGCGGCCACTGCACTCCAGTCTGGGTGACAGAGTGAGACTCCAACTTAAAAAAAAAACAAAAAACATGTACACACATTATTCCCAACTTTTAAAAACATATGCATAGGCTGGGTGCACTGGCTCATGACTAGAATCCCAGCACTTTGGGAGGCCGAGGTGAGAGAATTGCCTGAGTCCATGAGTTCGAGACCAGCCTAGGTAACTTGGCAAGACCTCATATCTACAATAAACCAAAAAATTAGCCAGGTGTGGTGGTGCATGCCTGAAATTCCAGCCACTTGGAAGGCTGGGGCAGAAGGATAACATGAGCCCAGCAGATCAAGGCTGCAGTGAGTGTGCCACTGCACTCCAGCCTGGGCAACAGAGTGAGACTCCAACTCAAAAACAAACAAAAACACCTTATGTATGTATACTTATATAAACATATACGTATATTATGTAAATGTTTCCACATATAAACACACATAAAAAAGGGGACGTGAGGCTGGGTGCAGTGGCTCATGCCTATAATCCCAGTACTTTGGGAGGCTGAGGTGAGAAGATTCCCTGAGTCCAAAAGTTCAAGATCAGCCTTGGCAACTTGGCAAGACCTCATCTCTACATTAAATTTTAAAATTAGCCGAGTGTGGTGGCGTGCACCTGGAGTTCCAGCTACTTGGAAGGCTGAGGCAGAAGGATCACCTGAGCCCAGCAGGTTGAGACTGTGGTGGCTGTGAGTGTGCCACTGCACTCCAGCCTGGGCAACAGAGTGAGACTGACTCAAAAAAAAAAAATTTAATGTAATGCCAGGAAAACATCTCCTCTGGCGAACTGTGCTTCTGACCGCAAGCACAGCTATAACTACTGTGCCCATATTTCTCTTTTTGCCATGGCTCCCAGGGAGCTAAGGATTTCATTTGACTTCCAACTCCAGAACAATGTTACCTCTTCGGGATGACAGAGTTTTCTCTTCCTTTTCCTTCAGTCCTGTGTTACTTCTTTCTTTTCCCTTCTCAAATGTTTTCCAGAATCCTGACGGCCATAACTAAGACCTGGCGCGACCTGAGCCAGCCTCTCCTGCAGGCCTCCTGTTCCCAGCACTGCCTTCCAGCAGCCAGGCCTTGGCGCCACCTACCCGTGAACCCTGGCCTTTAGAGCCCTTGCTTGACCCCCGTTACCCTCTCTGGTCAAGCTTCTCCACGTCCTCCACCCGCATGCCAAAGATGAAGAAGTTCTCCTCCCCCGCCTCTTCTGCCATCTCCACGTTGGCCCCGTCCATGGTGCCGATGGTCAGAGCCCCGTTGAGCATGAACTTCATGTTGCCGGTGCCTGAGGCCTCGGTGCCCGCGGTAGAGATCTGCTCGGAGAGGTCTGCAGCCGGGATCACTGTGGGGTGGGAGTAGGAGGGGCGGGTCAACTCAGGGAAGAGCCCCACCCCGGCTGGGGGCTTGGGATCAGGCTGGCCCTGGATATCCCTGCATCCAGAGTCCCTTCCACCCCAGCCCCCAAGTCTTTCTTTTTTCAGTGGGAGTCTCACTCCGTTGCCCAGGCTGGCTGCACGCTCACGGCCACCACAGCCTCAACCTGCTGGTGTCAGGCGATCCTTCCACCTCAGCCTTCCAAGTATCCGGAACTACAGACGCACACCACCACCCCTGGCTAGTTTTTTTGTGCGATTACTTGTAGAGACGAGGTCTCGCCAAGTTGCCCGGGCTGGTCTCAAACCCCTGGGCTCAGGCAATCCTCTCACTTCGGCCTCCCAAAGTGGTGGGACCACAGGCTGAGCCACCCTGCCCGGCCTAGCCCCCAAGTCTTCACCAACCAAGTCTCCCTCTCACACGGCACCCCAATCTCATGCTGGTGCTTGAACATCTGGGTCCAACCCAGATTCCCGTGCCCCCACGGTGTGACTTAAAGGACACCCACAAGGCCTGTCTCCCAGATAACTGCACCCGGCGCCGCCTGAGATGCCACCACTAGAGGGCACCCTCGTGGCTTAAGCACTGCCCTCTCTGGATTCTTCCAAGTTCAAGTACCCCAAAAGAGGGCTGAGGCCGCCTCCCAGGACAGAACGAATCGGCGCTCCCCTGGGCCCCGGGGGCAGCACCCACCTTTCTCGGCCAGTGAGACTCGGTAGTTCTCCAGGAAGATCACACGAAGGCGGTCCCCCACGGCGGGGTCGTGGTTGACCACATCCCCGATGGCCGTGACGAGCTTGATAATCATCTTGGCCATGTGGTATCCAGGGGCGGCCTGTGGGGCCGAGTCCGGGGTCAGCTCTGCGGCCCGACCCCTACCTCCCAGCCAGCAACCCAGCCTGGCCGACCCCCAGCCAGACACCAAAGGGCCAGAGCCCTGGCCCGGCCCCGGCTTTTCACCTTTCCTCCAATCATCACCGTCCGAGGCACCAAAAACTTGTTGGGCTCCCTCTTGATGCCTGTGGACAGAGGAGAGACAGCCAGTGGGCCGGCTTTTCCCTCTGGTAGTTGCTCCCGGCAGGGCCTGGGCTGGGAATCAGGAGCCCTGACTTGGACAGTCCCTTGCTCCAAGCCTCAGTTTGCCCGTCTGTGAAGTGGGGAGACTCTGGGTCGTGAGCGTGGTTACGAGGCCAAAGGAAATCCTGGCGTGGCGGCAGGTGCCTGGCAGCGGGCATGCAGAGGGGACCACCCAGGGACAGGCCAGAGTCCCCCCGCCACTCACGGTTGTACAGGGTGATGATGTGGAGACAGTTGAGGAGCTGTCGTTTATATTCGTGAATCCGCTTCACCTGGATGTCAAAGAGCGAGTTGGGGTTGATGTGGACTTTGTATTCCCGCTCCAGGTAGGCAGCAAACTTCAATTTGTTTTCCTGGAGGCAAGGAACAGGGGGGGAGGGCTCAGGCCCAGGAAGGCAGAGGACGGAGGCTCACTTCCACCTCCATCCCTTCCTGTACCAGGGCAGACATTACTAATTGATGTCAGCACTACTCCAGTGAGGTCAGATGGTGCCTTCCCCCGCACCCCCAGCACAGACTCCAGGCAGCTTCTATGACGGCCTGGGGCTCGCAGAAGAGCTGAGCTCTGCTTGCCAGTCCTGAACCCAGCACTCTGCACGTGCCAGCCCCAGCACAGCGGTCCCAGGTCGCAACTCTCCCCCACCTGCTTCACTTTGGCCACGTCCCGGATAAAGGCCTCGTCGTCCACAAAAGAGAGCAGCTTTCGCAGCTGGTCCAGGTCTGAGATGTAATCCTCACCGATCCTCTGCGGAAAGACAGCACTCAGTCACATCCTGCCCCCGTCCTCCCTCCTCATGACACCGAGGGTCCCCTTCCAGGTCAGCCAAGCCCTCTGCCACCCAGCAGGATGCTCTGGGAGTCCTCTCAGCCCATCTCCTCCACCTCCCAGCAGCCACAGAGGGCATCCGTGGCCATCTTCCCCCGGCCATCTGCCCCCTCTCCCGTCCTTGAGCTCCGATAGCTGACCCCACCGGACCCCAGCAGGCCTTCCTGGCGCCCTGGCCTTTTCCTCTCACTGGCATGACCGCCTCCTGTCCCAGATATCTCCCCCTTCCAGCCTCGCTTCAGACGAGACCCGCTGATGCCACCCTGCATTAGACTGTGACCTCCACCGGAGTCACCTCCACAGCCCGGGCCCCCATTAGCCCACAGGACATCCTCTTGCAAGCAAACGACGCCCCTTCCTCCAGGCGCATGTGGGGCTTGGGGAACGTGGTTCAGGAGGGATCTCAGCCCTCAGCTCGGAGTGCTTGCACAGTGAACCACCTACACGACCACACCCAGCAGCTCCCCGCAGTACTGGCCAGGCCCCGGCCTCTCACCTCAGCAATGACCTCTGCCAGCCCGGGGTTACACAGAACCAGCCAGCGCCGAGGCGTGATGCCATTGGTCTTATTCTGGAACTTATGAGGCTCCAGCTCGTAGAAGTCCTTGAAGCTGCGGGATGGGGAGGGCGAAGGTCACCACTCACCCCGGGGGGGCGAAGGCATCCTCCCGGGGACCCCTACCCTGGTATCTTGCTGAAAGAGGCCTGGGGTGGGGAAGGCAGACCTAGGGAAGATGGGGGTGCTGTGTGTGAAACAGGGGGTCACCGCGAGAGGGGACCGCACCGGAGGGGTCTGCGGAACTTGCAAGAGCGACGCCGACGGCGGAAGGGGATGGGCTGGGGCGGGAGAGCTGGAACAGGTGCGGTGCGAAGGGTGGGCGGGGGCCAGGCACGA